AAAGTACTATCGTCAAATATGAATTATAATATATATATAAGTAAAATTATTGCAGAAGTTAATAAAATTATTTAAGGAAGGAATCTTTTTGATCATATTTGAATAGGAAATGTGTATATGTAAGCAATTAATGCATATAGTAAAAAATTTCCAAATAAAGTATGCATTAAATGTGAATTGACTTTTCTTGCTACTATTTTTGGTAAATAGGATGGCTTTTAATATAAGTATAGATATATATATTAAAAGCCAACCTATTTACTAAAAATAGTAACAAGAAAAGTCAACACACATTTAATGCACACCTTATTTAGAAATATTTTACTATATGCTTTAAAATTTAAATGCTTGCATATTTAATTATTTACATTTACTATCAAGATATGATCTTAAAGATTTTTTCCTTAAATAATTTATGCAATGATTTTACTGATATCCATTATAATTCATAGTTGTCGAGTAATATTTTTTAACCTTTATTTAATTATATAAAAAACTATTATTTTTTAAATAAATTAATATTATTTATCATTTAAAAGATAGTGATCACATCATTAAATGATTTTATTGATGGTTAGATAATAAAATTATATTAGTTATTTTTTAAAATTTTGACATGTTATTTATTTGTATATTATTGTCAACTAAGATAGTGTTTTTATCACTTTTTTTTGTTATGTTTCAAAAATGAACTTATTGTAAAATATTTTTCTATTGCATAGTATGTTAAATAAACTATAAAGCCTTATGATGAAAATTAGAATTAATCTCTTGATTATGTAAGGAATTTATTTTTTGGCAATTGCTAAATCATTTTTTTTTTTTAAAAAAAAAGTTATTATGAGAAAATTGAATTCTAAAAAACATGTGTGTATATTTTGTAAACATTTATACTCAAAATTTTATTTTGAATTTCATTACATAAAGAAGACTACTTCTATAACTTTTATAAATAATAATGACATTATAGGACTATAAATTTTATAATAAAATAATAATTGAGTATTATATGGTGAACAAGAATAAATAAAATTTTTATTTTTTCTTATATCAATGAATAAATATATATTCTAAAATCAAATAAAATATATTAGTATGACGTGTTAGCTGAATTATATATTAATTAACATGTTAATTTTGGCTTAAATAAATGTCACTTATTAAAAGAGGTGAAATATGGATGATCAAAGCGTATTGTTTTGTTTTTTTGTCTAGACGTACAAGTTCTATAGAAATAATTGATTTACTATATGTATCACGTGCATCGCACGGGGTATGCACTAGTTATCCAGAACGAGCTGAGTCTACGTGGCTGTTTCTAGTGCTTCGTAATTATATGTGGCAAAATTATATGCTTCGTTATTAGACTTAAGTAAATTTTAATTTAATCCAAATAAAAAATAATTAAGTTCGGATTACCATAAATATGTTAATTATTTATGATCATGTTACATGTATTAATTACATTTTAATATCATTCCTTATTATAACTATTGAATTGTATATATATTTTAAAAGTTAATAACTTTTGTATTTTTTATCAGTTTTACATATGTAATATATCAAATTAATCTTATTTTGATTAGCTTCGATTTAACATCCATATTGTATGTATAAAAAAATGACTTATATTTATCTTTATAACAATAATAAAATTATTTTTAATATTAATTAGAAAAATAAAATTATTTATCAACTAAATATATTTATATTTCAAGTAGTTATATGATATAAGTTATAAAAACTAATATAGTATAACACATGTAAGTCATGAGTAACACATATCATTCTAAAATATATAGTAATATATTTTTTTTTTGTAAAAAAGTAAACTAAATTTAATATAGTTTCTCATTAATTTTAAAATTTAAAAATAATTTTTTAATAAGCACCCGTATAATACACGGATGTTGTACTAGTAATAACGTAAAATAAAATAAAGGGAAATGCTACAGTCCCGTTACGGAACCATGTCGGGATTTGCAACCGTTAGATCATTATGTAACCGTGGTGAATAGTTGATCTAACAGTTATAAATCTCGACGAAACGATTCTGTAATGGGACCGTAGAATCTCTTGAAATAAAAAAAAGCAAATCAAAAAGTAATTTATCGAAGCATGGGGCAGCCATGTCGGTCACATTTTGAAGCAGATATGATATTCTGAAGCCAGATATGATATTCTGAAGCAGTACTAAACAAATTTGCAAGATTATGACTATAAAGAAACCAAAATATGATGACGGTGCATGCTTGCTTCTTACTTACATCATGAATTCATCCAAATAACATATAGTTTATTTTTTAATTAGATGATAAAATATAAAATTTTCAGTATTGTAATATAAAGGAATCATATGCAATTATCTAAATATTATATTTACATAAATTCAAAATTTCACTAACATCTAGTCATACCATATTTTTCTAAATTAATTAAACCTTGGTTAATCAACAGAAATCACTAGTACCAACACTCGTGTATTAAACGGGTGCTTGCTAAAAAAATATTCTTAAATTTTAAGATTAACGATAAAAAAAATATTTTAGATTTTATTTACTTTTTTATAAAAATATATATTTTTATTATATATTGTAGAATGTCAATTGTTACTTATGCGACTTGCATGTGTTATATTATAGTATTTTTATAATTTATATCATATAATTACTTGAAATGTAAATTTATTAAATGGTTTAATAAATTTTTTATTTTTAATTACTATTAGAAAACAATTTTATTATTGTTATAAAGATAAATATAATTTATTTTTTTATACATACAATATAAATGTTAAATCGAACCTCATCAAACGATGATTAATTTGATATGTGAAACTGATAAAAAATATAAAAAGTTATTAACTTTTAAAATATAAAATAATATTAAAATACAATTATTACATATAACATGACCATAAATAATTAATATAATTTATTTGGATTCGAAATAAATTAAAATCTATCTAACCCGAACCATGTAATTTTGTCACATAAGATCTTGAAGCATGCGAGTTCGCTACTTTAAGTTCAACACGTTTCGAATTAATACAGGGGGATTTTCAGTAAAAAAAAAATTGTATCCTTTCTATGTTTCTTGCATGCAATTGCATGTTAAATTATATTATCTTGAGTGGACACACACACACACTAATCGTTGTACAATTGTGGATATATGAGTTCAAAACTTGAATTGTTTAACTTAACTGGCTAAATTACAAAGCTTTGGTGAGTTAATTATTTATAAGATAAGGTTAATAGTCTGTGAAGAAAAAATAAGGAGCCTCGGATACCTCATCTCGTTTGCTCTGATTTCTGGTCAGACTTCGATTTTCGTGGGGTTTTTTGGCTTTCTTCGAGAACTTTCACTGGTATCGAAAAAACATGTGTCAAACTGTAGAATCGTTGGTGGTGATTGGCTCTCAACGAATGAAATAATTTGATTTTATCGACGCATGTCTAAAGTGTATCGACACTTGACTGACTATAAAAAAAAATGTATATATTTGTTGACACCCAAACTGCATTGACCGACACGTGGCGCAAACAACGTGACTATATCCGACCTCGAAGACAACGCTATAAAAAGTAAATTGAGTGGGCAAACGAACTTGTAATTAGACTAAAAGTTTGCGGATGCGACAGCCTCGACGAGAAAAATCTAATGGTAGGTTACTCACTTGAGATGGACATCAAGCGACTTCCGAATTAGAATTCTGCCACTAATCAATAGTGTACCTTATTTGGTGAGTTTTTCAAATTAATATACTAAGTTCTATATATGCTAAAAAATGGACATTTGTTGGAAAATGACAAATATATATAGTGGACTGATATTGAAATTATGTAATTTATTTTGTGTTGGTTGCGTGTGACTGTTGTTTGTTTGGGTCTTCGGAGAGGATTTCTAGGGTTAATTTTTGTTTGGGAGTTGTTAGTGAACGATTCAATCAATTGATTAGTTGTGTCTGTACTATGAACTTTGAGTTTTGTGTAATGCAATGCCCTTCTTTTCTTAAAAAACAAAAAGATAGCTCGGACATTGGTTAAAATTAAAACCAAATGAATTCGAATGAGTGAACACTGTCGGACGCATGTGGGTTCTAGAGGCTGTGAACGACCAACGACACCTATTTATAGGTGTTGGGCTCATCGCGGTCGAGACAATTTTCACATTTATAAATACCGCTTGCATATTCATTCGAGCGAATTGAACTATATATAATTATGGTTGATAAATTTATATAGGTTCGCTAAAATTTTATGTGTTTAAAGTAAGTTGTAATATTTTGAGATTATAGTTCTGAGATGTTTGTTGAGAACCATCGCATTAGCAATTTGAAAGAGCGCTATTTAGACACTTTGACTTTAATCAATGTAAAAATTTCTTTGTTAGATTTCATTGATTTTAAAATCGGCGAAGGGACACGCTGCAACCCCAGAGGGGAGGAAAGCGCCAAACTCGCAATATAGTTTGGCCGTAAAATTTACTTCCCTATGCACATGTTGGATCATGACGTGTCACTCATATAGGCACACATATATACTTTAAGGTACGGTTCAGTTAATAAACCATTCTATCGAAATTTATAACAGTTATGTCAATTATCTATGACAACTATGATCTAACAGTACAAACCCCAACTGAATAGTTCCGTAACGAGAGTACCATTTTCCTTTATATTAACATGTTTTTTACCATCAAATTTGGTCAAAAATTTATCCCTAATTCCCATCTGTATATTTTTTCTGTATAATCGTTGTCTTTACAATGATTTACTTTATTATGAAAAAAATTGAACTAATTTAAAGACATTTTAACAAATTCCTAAATTAGCAAGATTTTTTTTTTATTTAAAACAAACACAATGACACCAATAAAGCAGACAGTGAGTGTACTCACCCACCCACGCCCAAAATCACCCTAAAACAGTACTGAAAAACACAAACAGAGACCCTTCAATTCCAAATAGTTATAACAAGATGAGATCCCACGCGCCATTAATGGCAGAATATAACCTTGAGCTCCCTCGGCGCCGAGCACTCGTGCATGAGGGTGGGGCTGTCGTGCGCGTACGTGAAGGTGTGCGGGCAGGCGTGCTTGAAGAACGTCGAGTAGCTCGACGCCCGGCAGGTCTGCGGGCTGTTGAAGTGTCCCCGGCAGCACAGCTCGTCCGTCTCGAAGGCGGCGCAACCGCTCTTGCACCCCACCACCGCCGCCCCCGCCCTCGCCCTCACCTGCAGCGGGACGGGGCACGTGGCGAGCAGATCCGCCCGGCACCCGACCACCGGGCACACCCCCTTCCCCTCGTGCGGCGTCACCGTCATCGGGACGTTGAACCCGTCGACGAGGCTGACGCCGTAGGAGGAGAGGTCGGCGGCGCCGCCGTGGTGGAGGGTGAACTGGGCCAGGGTGGCCGGTGCGGCTCCGCCGAGGCCGGCGCACTCTAGGCGGCCGGCGCAGTCTCCGGTAGCGCAGGAGAAGCGGCCGCCGGAGTGGGAGCAGCCGGTGCGGGCCCAGATCCGGCCCGACCAGTGGATGGTTGGCGCCGGGAAGGAGTAGTGGTGGAGGGTGGGGAGGGCGAAGCCGCCGCCGCGCTCGAGGGGAAGGTGGCCGGCGTTTTGCTGGATGGCGGGCCAGACGGTGAAGGGGCAGTTGTTGACGAGGGTGAGAGTAAGGCCGGAGGAGGGGTGGTGGTGGTGGTCGGCGTCGGCGAGGGCGCACAGGAGGAGGATGGGGAGGAGTGCAGAAGAGCACAGCCGAAAAGAGATGCCGGACATGATTTTTGTGTGCAGAGGTGAGTGGGTGAGTGAGTCTTTTGTTGTGGGGATAGGAC